AAACAAGAAACAAAAACAAACTGCACCCGTGCATGGAAATAGTATACAATAGTCTAACCACCTATACAAATACAAATACAGTCATGACGACCTGCACAGACCACTCCTACGAACAGAAGGCCTTGTCTCAAGCACTACAGACTACTCCTACTAACACAAGGCCTCGTCTCAGGCACTAAATATACTGCACACTACTACGAATCAGAGGATGAAAGAAGACTAATGGTGGAACTGTGCATCATCGTCGTCCACAATGTCCTTCCTCCTCCTCTGCGGCACCACACATGTCACACCATCCCCACGACCTGTGCCGCCTGCCGGCGCGTGCGTAGTATCCGGAGCATGAATCTCCCCCTGTGGCGCCGCCTCAACCCCTCCCTGTGGTCGAAGAAGATCGTACACGGAAACCCTCCTCCGCTGGCCATAAGGCATCTCCAAATCGTCTGTGCCAGACTCCCAAACGACTGGCGCCTATGACGGTCGCTGCGATGTCGCTGCCCTCACATCTTCCCGCAATATACGTGCAGCCATGCTCCTCCCGGGGTGCGCACTGTGCTCGACGTGGTCGCCGGTGCCTGCTGTACGCCCTGCAGTATGTGGCAACGTCCCCTCAGCAGGTGCGCTCATGGGCTGATCCGTCGCTCGGTCGGAGACCCTCTCCTGCCATCCTGCTGCGTCTGCGACAACGTCCCCGCTCAAAATCGCCCGTGTCCGCGGATGTAAACCGGCCAACCCAGGCTGACTCGCCCGCATCGTCTGCGTCACTCTCCTCACGGTACTAAGACTTTTCCCTGCTCTCATCTTCTTCTTCCGTGACTGAGGAGAAGGAGACTCCCCGGCGGGTGTCGGCGAGGGGCCCCGTACTGCGGCTGTGCCCTCCACATATGCGGGTGTGCTGACACCTGTGGTGGACGATGGCACTGACGGGCTGCAAGGTACGTAAGTCGGGGCCTCTGCCATCAATCTCCTCGACGCCTCGGTCATCCGCCCCCTGTGATCTGCCTGCAACGGGTCCTCCCGTGCCTGCCGCTCCAACTCCCCCACTGACATGGCCCCACCGAGAGGCAATACGCAAACACCCTGAACTGGCGACGCAGGTCTCTCGCCCGCATCCCCTATGCCCGCAGCGCCGCACTCGCCCTCTGCATCACCTGCCTCAACGCCCGTCTCGAGCATCCACGCTACACGTGCCCTCAATGCAACACTCTGYGTCATCTCGCAGCGRCTAGCCAACCCYTGCGCCCTCCTCCTCTCCTCGAGGTCGATCCTGTCCTGCTCTGACTCTGTCGCCCGCTCCTGCACAGGTCGACACTCCCCATCATCCCCAGCTGCACGCTCGTGCTGCCCCAACCGACCCGGTGCCCCCTCTGCTGCCTCCTGCAACATGCTACTACTAATGTCGCCCGTGCTGCATAAAGGTATGTCACGAAGTATTTGACTGACGGGCGTGGCCGCTGCGTCCACACCGACACCGACACGCTCCCCTACCGGTGTCGGAGGATGCCCTAACGTAACATCAAAAATGTTGTCGCTGAAACTGACACCCACCTGTGCAGATGGCCTCCCAACCTCTCCAGCATCGCCACTACCMCCCGCAAACCCGCCTGGACCCTCCGCAGACGCCGTTGCGCCCTCTGCAGACGCCGCAGCGAACTCTGCAGGGGAGGGAGCAACCTCCATAGGGGAGGGAGCAACCACAGCTGCCTCAGCGGGCCTCTCCTCATCAACCCAATGCACAGTGTGAGTGGACGATGTAGACTCTCGCCTTACTTTTCCTGTGCCAGCACGCCCTGCACCACCTGCGCGCCCTGCACCCCCAACACCCGGCCCGCTGCCTCCCCTGCCTGCACCACTGCATCGGTCGCCACGCTGTCTCTCGGACTTCCGCAAACCACCCACAGCCCGTCCACCGTCACCGCCCTCGTCGTCGTCGTCGTCACCATGTCCGCGTGTCGGGGAATAACAGGGATCATCCTCATCCTCACTGCTGCCCTCATATCCCTCCCTATCGTCACCATCGTCGTCGTCTCCCTCGTCGACACGCTCGCGAGTCCCTCCCTGTTCGCGACGATCGGTCGAAGGGTGTGGCGTACTGCTCTCGACACGGTCCGCCAGGCCTGGCTGTGAGATGTCGGGAGCACTCGAAGGAGGGCGTGCTGCGGGAGACGGTGCAGCGGCCGCCGTGGACGCACGTGTGCGAGGACGCAAAATCTGGTTGAGAGGAGTGTCGTCGTCATCGTCATTAGAACCTCCTGGCTCCGACTCCACGACCAAGTCGTCCGGATCGGACCACGGCTCGGCCTCCATCGCGTCCTGAGCCATGGGATCAGACTCGAGATCGTACACCAACTCCAACTCATGCGCCATGAGCACCGTGGCGCGACGACCGAAATACGTTGCGACGCTGGGAGGTGCCTTTGAAAGGCGATCCTTCCGCCCGCGCTGGACCTGCCAGTCGCGCTGTGCCTCGGTGACTCGGTAAGCCGGCCGAACACCCTCATCACGAGGCGGACGAATAGCGTCCTCTGTCTCCTCCTCAGCGTCCTCCCATGGAAGAACTTGCCCAAAACCCCTCCCCTGACAACGACTCAATCTCAAGTTGGTGGATATTTCCACCAAACGAGTCAGCTTGATGAAACCAAGCTGATTACGCCTCTTCACCTGAACACGCTCATGGACGGCCCAATTCCTCTCCGTCGGAGAGGCACACGTCCATGTGTGCGACAAGCGAATGGCGATGCTCTGAAGGAGAGGGACCCCGTCCCCGTGCTGAACCCACCACTGTGACATCTCCTTCTCCCCTTTGCAGGCGGCCGCATCCCTGTCTCCCTCGGCCCCTCCATACCTCCAATCGCCCTCCCGAGAATGAAACTCCGCCAGCTGCGTGCGCAACGTCTGATACAAATCCTCATCACCACCAGTCTGCTGGCGAAGGTATCGCAACGACCCGTCTGCCGCTCGTGGTCGGTACGCCTCGCCGCTCCAAAAAAAGTAATGCTCCTCTGCGCGGATTGAGGAGGTGGGCCATGCAATGTGCGGGCTCCAACATATGAGCGACCCGCGCCTGACAAGCCTGAACAACGATGTGGAGCTCGTCCTTCGACGTCCTGTTGAGGCTTGCTCTCGCCACCCTGTCGACCATGACAAAACCCCATGACCACATGCGAGTCATCACGCTACCCCCCCTGTCCAGACGCCGTAGCAACTGCATCACAGGCGTCATGAGCGCCACGATGTCCTCCACGTGCTCCCAGAATGGCGCGTACCGCACCTGATGACGCACCCATCTGGCCTGCAGAAAAATGGACCTCCTCCATGCGGTCCGCAGCCAATCGTCGCTCATCATCAACGCCTCCAACGCTCTGCGACGATCCAGCAGCCTCTCCAGCATCAAGTAGTGGGTGGCAAACCTCGTCTGCACAAGGTACACAAGCTCCCTGCCTCGCCGCTGAGACGAGGGTGGCGCAGAGCTCGAACCACCAGCCGCCGCGGAGGCGGAAGAGGGGTGGGCGGCAGAGAACCGTCGATAAAGGCTCAGAGCCGCCCCGTGCTCTCTGATGAAACGCACGACAGCTCGAGCCCTGATGATGGTGTCCTCCCTCTTCCCGAGGCTCCCGTCGCGCCCATCCTTCGCGATGTCTGACAACAACAAGTTGCAGACATGGACCGCACACGGAAGCCAAGTGATGCGGCTGTACTTGACTTCCTCCTGGGCGAGGAGCTTGGACGCAGCAACATACGCAGATGCGGAATCAGTACAAATGGTGTTCACCTTGTTGACACCAAACTTGTCGAACACGTCCTTCCATCACTCCACTACGGCCTTTGCTGTCTCCTGAACAGCACCATCCTGCTGCACAGTCCTGAAAAGGTACGCGCCCGTGGGACCAGCAGAAAGGAAGTTGACTATCTGGTCGCTCGTGATGGACTTGCGATCATCCGTGAGGATGGTTGCTCCCATCGCCTCAATGTCCCTGCGGATGGCCGCCACCATGTCCGCCACAACTCGCTGCTGCTGAGGGATGCCTTCGCACGAAATGACACGGTGCGTGGGTAATGCCGGATGTGCATACGGCGGACACTCGAGCAACTTCTTCCTCATCCTATGATACTCTGGCCTCCTCGCCGCCTCGAATGGGATGCCGCTCACGTACCACCACTGTAGGACGGAGTCCGAGAATTCTCGTTGCCACACTGGATCGAAGGTCTCCAGCATGGATGTCTGTCGAAGAACTCTGCTCTTTTTGGGCTGAGAAAGTGCTGATCTCGCCTCAGTGGTAGTCATCTTCGCCTTCCTCTTTCTCTTCTTTGATCCCGCAGCCTCCTTCATCGCCCTAGCTGCCCCCTCTTGGCCCTGACGGCCATCGCCCATCAACCCCCCATCCAGAGAGGCCCCAAGGTCTGCTCCCTCATCGTCATCGTCGTCGTCTGCGTCCTCGTCAGGGGTGCTGTCCTCGTCAACCGCCTTCTCCTTCCTCAGCTTTCCCCTGGCACCCTCCACCTCTCGCCGCACCTCCATGTCCTCTGCATCACTCTCACCATCATCATCTCCACCCTCGAGCGCCCTCCTCTCCTCCTCGCTGTCCTCAAACTCCTCATTCCCCGCTGGCTCCCTCCCCGATCCACATCTGTTGTCTCGCAACCCACGAGACTTCAAAAAGTCCACAATCTTTCATGATGGCTTGGATCGAACCCGTACTTTGTCTTGTTCCATATCTCCGCCATCTGCTCCACAGAGATTTTGGCGCAATTGTTCTTGATCGTGAAGTGCGGTGCGGCTTTCGTCTGGCTCCCCTGAAAACCCTGACCACACAGCTTGCACTCCATGAGGAAATTGCCATTCGAATTCGCCATCGTCTGCCCCTTCGTAACCCACTTAAAGCCGCAAAACTTCAGCTCCGCCTCCTTCTGCTTGTCTTTACTGACTGGAACGAATGGCTGATCTCCCCTCCCTTTCTTGGGCGCCATTGTAGCCTTGCAGGTAGCCCACCGCCCACAGATGCCGGAGCGGAGCTCAGTGGACAGCGCCAAAGCCCGTCCTGCCCAGGCCTGTCCCCCTTCACCCCCCCCCCCCACCACCCCCCCGAACGGGCCCGGCACTCGAAAACCCTGCCCGCGAGCACGGCCCGACCACCGGCCCGTTTAGGCCTACGGGCCGTACGTACAGGACGCTGCGTACGTACGCTCGTACGGGCCGTACGTACGGGTGCCTCCGTACGTACGGGCGTGTGTGCGTGGCGTCCGACGCCGCTGCGCCGCGTGCCCTCCCGGAGAGTTGGCCGCTCCCCTTGGTCGCGCTGCCGCCGCCGTCGCCGGAACCGTCGTCGTCGCGTTCGCCGTCGGCGTCTGTGGGATCTCTCTCTCTCTCTCTCTCTCTCTCTCTCTCTCTCTCTCTCTCTCTCTCTCTCTCTCTCTCTCTCTCTCTCTCTCTCTCTCTCTCTCT